CATTAAATCTGACACACTTTAAAAGTGAAGGCCTGAACAGATGAGATTGTCTTTTTTAATGTCAACTGAGTTTTATTTAAGCCTGCCCATGTGGTGATTTTGAAATGACAGACGATTTGAATAAACGTTACTTAAGGAAATTTGATTCCAGAAATGTGTTACAATTATCTCTGATGACATCCAATTCCACTGATTATATTACAATTTCATTAACGCAGTAGTGGTACTTGTTACATACAGGTTCTATTGATATAATTTATACGTTTGACACAGTACTGGTTTCCAAGGCTTTCATAATTTTTTTTTTTATTCATCTTCAGAATCTTTCTTTACAATGTCATTAAAATCACGACAGAAGAGAAGAACACAAACAGTAATTTTTCATTTTTATACTAACTTAAACTCATCTTTGCCAGCCAAGGTTTGTTTATTCATCTATCCTCGATTGAGTTCATCCTCTAAATTTTCAGTTTTTCCCAATCTTCTGAAGAAAAGTTCAAACTCTAAATGTGACTATTTTGTGATGAAAAGTTGGAACTGGTGGTGAAAAGGTTTCCAGGCAGATAAAATCTGATCGATGTATTTTTACAGAGGTCTGATACGCATTCTCTCGAAGTGAAGCTTAATCCTATGTGAATAGTAATATGCATTACAAATTATATACATCTGTATTCAGAAATGCGCTTATAATAGAACAAATACAATACCTAGTCATACACAATTGAAATGAAAGTAATAGGAAATTCACTTATTTCAAATAAATTGTTAATTATGTTATCAGAGAAGTCAATTGAAAGAAAGTCTTAAACCCTCTGACATTTCATCAGCTCAGCAAGTTTTGCTTTTTTAATTAAAAAGTTGAGAAATAATACCTTTTTATTCACAACTACACGTTTTGCATGATTAGCATCATTAAATTGATTGTTGACATACAAATTGAATCATTTTCTGCTTCAGTTGATCGCCGAGCTAGTCAAAATACACAGAATGAATTCAATGTGACTAGTTTTTTTCTGGTACATTGCAATGCCCATAAAACCATCGATTTCAACGGCACAGACACTATTCCTGAATGAAATAATTTCATACTTGGCAGAAATTGTGAGAAAACAAAATCAAGTGATTTTCACAAGCAAAAGTAGAAATTTGAAAATATATAAAAAATAATACATTGACATCATTTTTGGAACAGAAAATTATGAATGTGAAAAGAACATGGTATTTACTTTACGAGAAAGCATGTATCAAATATGAACCAGAAAAATTGCATTTTGGAGGAACTTTATAAGCAACAATGTCGTCAAAACTGTGTGCATTCTACTAGTATTCTGTTCAACTGGTTTCTGATTGGTCTATACCTACATTACGTGCTACAAGCTGTTCAAAATGTAAAAATTGATGACAGTCGTAACAGTACTTTATCGTCAAAAAAAAAAGCGTGCAATTATGACCAAGCATGCTACATGATACAATTTACAAGCTTGCCTATAAATTGTGTAACTATCCTTTTAATATTGGTCACTATCAAAATGTAAACATTCTGATAATGATACCGTATTTGCTCTATTAGTAGCACTTGTTTTAATTAAATGACATTTTAGATTTTTCTAATGGTTAACGATTGTTATTTTTGTTGTTTTTTTTTATATTTTTTTTTTGTATGTGCTTTATTTTGTTTGTATGCTTTTCAATTGTAGATGCACTTCTAATAGAACAAATACAGTACAATCAACCATTTAATAATCAACTTTTCCATTGCTCATTCAAATAAATGGGTAATACGATGAAAGTCCGGTAAATGGTGAACATAAGAAATGTCGTCACAATTATGACTTTAATTTTAAAGATCGGGTAGTGAAGCGGCAAAATTGACATGCGTTCTACTAAATACAGATTCTATGCCGTGAATGCGCTGTATGAAAAATTGTTATTTAAAACTGTATTGCTTTAA